CGCTCTTCCAGAGCTCCATTTACAAAGCCTTTGTATGCGTGCGCGCAAGTACTTCAGTCTGATATCCTTCAGCACGTTAAAGAGGAATGCAGGCTGGATGTGAATCACGCTGTAACGCTTACACGCCTCAGGAGTGTCTACACACCTTTGAGATCTATGTCTATGAAAGCAACTAAATAAGAGTTTCCTAACAAACAGCTTTTCTTTTGCCCTTTTCAGTCAATCAGAAAGTCTACGCAGTTTTTCAGGAAAAAGCCTTGAAGTCAGGACATTAAAGCAGTCATTTGCTGACAAGGGAAAATACACTTACTTCATAATATCCATTGGCAAAGAAATGATCCCTGAAGGCCTGTACTACCATGGAGCGCACCTTGAAGATTTTGGACATATTCTCGCCTCGAATCATCATATGCCTGTTGTTAAGTTGCACATCCACCTCCGAATCCTCATTGAGTAGATTGTCAGCCCCTCCTGCTGGGGCCAGACCAATAAGCTCCCAGTAATCACAGTTCAGCTCGTGGCCTCCCGGAGCCTGCCAATTTGAAGAGAAACAAGCATTTCAGATGTCCGCGTTTTGCCCCTTGGATGCCACCATCTGGCATCGTGACAGAGACGTCAATCCAGTTTAAACAAAAGATGCTAAGATCCCGACTGCAGTATTTTCAAAGGGACTGCTTTGTAGCTCAGTCATACCACGCTTGGAAGAGCCACTTGTAACCCACTGTGAGTCTGTCAGACTTAACCTGAACAGGATCGAGTACTGCAGTCGGGTAACGAGAGGCTGCCCTGTCCCCAGCGCTGCCGCAGAGCGCCAGGCCTCTCCATTGCTGGTCTCACCAGCTCCCCCGTGTGGGTCTCAGTAGGCTTCTGGGCCCTAAAACGGTAATTTTTTCATTCACAGTATTTTCAGGGTATAAATGCAGATTTTCAAACTCTAATCAATAGATTTTTACAAATCTGGTGGGTTTGTTCCCTAAAAGCATTGTATCACTGCGATGAGACATGAAAACATGAAGTGTTTTCAATGTCCAAAACATCATGAGCAATAACATACTACGAGTTACTTACGATGACCAAAGAGCATAAAGTTGTTAAAAAAAGTGATCCTTGTTTGGCTGCATTTATTTTTCAAAGCCCCAGTAGCGTAAGCTATGGAGGAAAGGAAATCTTGCTAACTTCTGATCGGCAAACACAGCATTTAACTGAGCTTGGCTCTCCAACCTTAGGTCGGTCTCTCGGGGAGAAGACCCAAGTGGCGGGGACAACCAGAACGACTAAGCCTATCCAAATTTCATTTGCAAAACATGCCAGTAATGGCCAACAGTACATGACTTACGAGCAAACTGAATCATCTACAAAGCACCACAAAAGGTTAACAAAGTTTTAACCTCATTTTACACACTACAGGCAGTCACAATGAGGGACTACTTTGCTCAGATATTGTCTAATATATCTTGGAAACAGTTTGAAGCAATATAACACTCCAAAATGTGATTTATTTTTTTTTCAGATGTTTCTTCTCCCTGTGATCTTACTCGAATTAGTACACTTACTCAAGAGACTACAGATTGCCAATCCACACAGAACAACTCTCACTGCAAGAGCTGATGAAAATTGTCAATAAGTATCTAAAGGAAGGGGTAAACTTACAGACTAGCAAGATTAAACATACATCTGTCCTCTAAATTTCAACAGTACTGCTTTGCTTTCTCCTTAAAAAAAACAAAAGGACGTTCCTGTAAGCAGCTATCGAGAGCTCACGTCTTAAAAGGATGAGTTAGGATTTAATAGAACAAATGTGGCCCGAGCTTGCTTGCTGTTTCTGCATCACAAGGTAGTTTTGCAGCACAGACACAACTTGCTTTTGTCTCTCAGTCACCTCTTAATAACCAAGACAGAAGTCTTGCAGGAATTTTCAGCAAATATCCTGACGCAGGCCTGCATGTCCCATTGAGTTGCTGTCACAGGTTCTCGCCTGCGCTCCCGCCCTCAGTCTGAACCCTTTTTACGGGCCACCCTTCACGCACAGCTGCTTAACCTGGCGTTAGCCCTAGCTCCAGATTCAAGCAATTTTCCAAACAGTAACAGTTTGTAGATCTAGACTGGAATGAGGAAGGCACAAGGCAGAAGCAGCATCATATTTTGAGACCTAAAATCAAACCTGCCCAGTCCTTAATCTGAGACCACCATCATGAACAAAGTTGGACAACACAAGCGGTAGTAAAGTGCCCGGTTCACACACCTGCCAAGCGCTGGAGGGCGAAGAGCCGACAAACCCACCTCAGTAAAAGGCGAGCCAATCCCAAATTCTCAGCCTCGCAAAATAAAAACTTAATAAACCTCTTGTTGGGGAAAAATAAAGCTGTATCATTTATTTAACATAGTTTTCCACTGTTATAGTCTAGGGGACTATCTATGGGACGTATCGGTGGAAAATTGTTTCGGGCAAAAGCAGAACAGTGGCATAGTTCACATGTCACACACTGAACTGTGGGGGACAGCAGGAGCTTTGGCAGGTTTCTTCTGTTCTCCAAACCAAATTCCCGCTGAAATAATCTAATAATTATTTCTGCCTCTGCTTCTCCTTTCATCAGGAAAATGATAAACTGCGAAAGAGAGGGCGAACCCAAACACACTAACTCCCGTACCTGCTTGCCTTCAGGAACAAGGTTCAGCGTACCATACACCGCAACGCTGCTCTCCGTAGAGAGAACGAGCCCATTGTAACACTGACACTGCAGAGACAAAGAGAAGCAAAGGCACAGTTACGGTCTTTTTTTATTTTTAGTTTTCCTATGCCGTCTCTTGGAGTAACAGACAAGATTAACTCATAGTCACTTCTAAACAGTTCTCACGCTGACAAAAAAACTCTAGTGGTAGGAGATGCAATTTAACAATACTACAACTCAATCAGTGAGTTTAGGAGAACTTCCAACCATCTATATAAAAGGAAAATGGACAAGGTATGAACATTTTACTTATTTAATGACAGAACATAATTAAACCATCACAACTTACCAGTTCATCTGAAAGGACACACTGAAGAAAACCTGTACCATCTCTCAAAACAATGAACATCAAATTTTTTCCTAGTTAAAAAGAGAAGAAAAAAAGCAGAGATCCTCAGCTTTATTCACTGATCCATTTGAACAGACAACATTGGGACGGTATGTCCCAAGACAGACAAATCACTGATGTGCAGATTATTACAGAAGGACCGTGATCCCATTCTTCCATTTTAAAAAACAAAGACGCTCCAGGTAAACACTGAAGCATCAGCACAGTTACAGAAGCCTTTCACAGAGCTGTATTTTGCATAACAAAATAAAGTAAGTTTCAGCAAACATCAAGAGCAAAGCCTGCTCCAGCCTCAAGAGGGCTGGGCTTGCACCACCGGCCTCAGACGTCCCTCCGGTCCTGAGGGACTACAAGTCCGTGCACAGAAACGCTGAATGCACAGGCCCAGGGTACAGCCAACACGGACAAAGTCATGTCACCCTGGTCACCCACCTCTCCACAAAAGCATCTACTTCCAACAGTAATTCCCTAGAATCTGCTCACGATACCCAGAGCCACAACTGCTTTGTCAAGGCCTTCAGTCATACCCGCGGCATCAGCACCACCTCTGCCGTGCGCTTCCACGCCCCGCCTGAAGCCGCCTTGCTAACCACAACACCGAGCATTCTGATAGCAAGTATTACTCACAAAACCTATTTTAAAAGGAGTCGTGCTACTTTATACAACTTTAAAACTCCAATTTGCTGATTTCACTATGAGCAGATGCTAGTTAGCTCCTCGGTTGGCAGGACTCATTTAAAACACAAAACAAGTCTTCTGCAGAAATTCTGCAGGTCTGGCCTTCAAACTGAAAGATTTCCACTACGAAATGTCTATGCGCTCATACATCATGCAGAATTTTCAGTGTCGCAGTGACCACTGTGATAAACCAAAGACGACATTTAACTGATAGTTTAAAAATGTAAGAATAGGAGCTGTCTGATTCATTGTAAGCACCCAAATTTGGAAGGCTACTGAATTTGTGCCATCACTCCGCACAGGTTCAGTAACTTCTAAATGCTTGTGGTTTACCTTGCCTCCGTAACCTGTGAATCCAGCCAAAAATCTTCACTCTCTGGCCTCTGTAAGCTTCCAGAGCATCAATCTTCACCTGTAAAGCACGGAATAAAAGCAATTAAATAGAGAAACGACTCACCCTTTAGACGGTGTTTTCCATCTAACTACTTAGAATACAAGTGTGTATGACATCTCCCTCCCAAAACGGCTCCTCCCAGCAGCACTTGAAGCAAAGTTCCAGCCAGTGTACAAGCGCAGCTGCCAATACTGTTGTTTAGTACGGAAAGAGTATTTTAGCAAGTTATACCGCAGGCAGTATGTTCGGACAGCATTTCCAGACTCCAGAGTCCTTTCTATTTAGCAGGCTTGCTTTGCCATGTAGAAACTAAGGACTGTCACACCTTTTAAAGAAGCTCATTTTGCATTTGACTGAAAGGAGATGTGAAAACACGTTACAGCTCACACCTTAAGACGCGAGTACTAGGTACTACTGGAAATCCAAGGTGCATTAAACCACCAAAAAACTTGGAAAGGATGCCTCAGATATTTCCGGGCACTCTGAACACACTTGGTGTAATTTCTGAAGACATTCAATAGACGAGTTCAGTTAGCAGCCAAAGAAGCAGAGGACCTGGAATCTGACATTGGTGTATCTACATATGTAGCTGAGGTACCGACACTGCTATAGTCAGAACAATTAATGCAGCAGACGTCTTCAAAATGCATCATGCCTCTGGCAGCTAAGAGCTGCTACAGTGCATCGGTGTAGAAGAGACCGTTTTCTTTCCCAAAGAGTGCCATGGGAGTGCAGAGCTCCAATCAAAACCGTCTTCTGCACATGTATGCGGAAACCGCTTCTACAGAGGGTCCGTGCAAAAACCCATCACAGAGCAGCACGCGCAATCTCTGCTTACTAAGGGAAGGACTGCACCAAACCACCAAATCCAGCAGCTCTCTACAAACAGCCAAATAAGAACGTCTCAGTAACTTAAATTACATCCTGTAACCAGCACTGTTTCTTCACTCTCCACCACTGCAATAATCGAACAAAGCAAAACTAATAAACTGTCCCAAACAGAAATATGGTCTCTACCAGCAGACAAACACAGACACAGAGAAGTCTGATGCATGAACTAAGAAGGTTCAGATACCCACCAAGTGCATACTGAGCACACAGACAACCAGAAAAATCAAAGTTACATTTATGGACAGCAAAAAGACAGTGGCCTTCAAAGAGCCACAAAGCAGAGACAGACTCCATCCTTGAGCAGACGAGATGCTGTAACACAGGCCGTGTGTCAAGCACACTGGATCTTACACATTTTGGCTCTGGAAGGCTAGGATCATTCTTAATAACAACTTTCTTAGCTTCCTCCAGGTTCTTCTCTCTTCTCAACAGATCTTCTGCCTGGTGTAAAAAAAAAAATGTATTAAATAGCTGTAACCAGGCTTTATAAGATTCACACTCTTTACAATTACTGGAAACTATAATGTACACCTACAGACGTAGATGTCACAAAAAGCCGTGATGTTACCCTGCTGGGGCCTAAACCTGCCCTAATGCAAGACCAGGATCAGAAACAATATTCATTTTTTTCTGGGAAGTCTAAAGGCAATAGATTGCAGTTATTCAAAGCTCACCCAGTTTCAGCCATTTGCTTGTCCTAATCCAAACAAAGGCAAGTCCTAAATGTGTCAAACAATGACACTGATGAAGAATAAACTGAAGCTTTTTTGAGGGGTGGGAATGACAACAATGCTGCTTAATGTTTTTGGAAAAGAAAGCTGGTATGCTTCCTCCAACTTGGCATCGTCTGCAACCTACCTCCTTCTTCTCCTTAGCTTCATTCTTCATTTGTTCCCTATGCCACAGCTTTTTGACATTTTTCATCTGTGACTTCGAAATAATGGCCCATCTCTAAATGAATCCAAGGAGAGAGCAGAAGATAAAAGATTACATTTGCATCCCTTCACCCAAAAGAGCATTAAAATAATTTCTACTAGGAAGCTCTAATGCTACAGCACCTCATTTTCTTTTTGCGAATCCACATAAATAGTAGGAAACGGTTCCTTTCCTGCTGTCATCAAAGCCTAAAAAGGGGGAGAAAACAACAGGATCAATGGCACTGCAAATGAACTAAATCATCTTTAAAGAGACTGAGCAGACATCCTGCTTCTGATTCTGCTGGTCAGAGTTGCAAAAATAGGTATAAAATTTGTATTCAGAAATACAGGCCAATCACTTGACCTAAAGCACAGTTCACTCTTCAAAACAAACAGCAGTTTTCCGCAGTTACCTTTAAAACAGTCTTGAATGGTTTCTTTTGTGTCCCATCACCAGTGGAATCATTGCCCTCTCGTTCAGAAACATACAGCTCTTCTGTAATACATGACAAATACAGACAATTACTCAAAAAAAAAAAAAATCAGCTATGGAAATGTTCAAGAAGAAACTGGAAACACACAAGGATATAAAATCTTCACGGCTATCAGCAGCAATAAACCTTCAAAAACAACTACCTGGTCAGCTAGGATAAGAGTCATTTAATATTTTCTATTCTAAAAATCAACCCATGCAGTACGTGTGTTACGCTGAAGTCTCAAGGACTCCCAAGGTACGGAACTCTTGAAAGTCACAGGCTGCGCGTCAGGAACCAAGACGGAAGCAGCCTTTTACAGAAATAACTCCTTCTAGACAAGCGGGGAGAGGCTGAAATTGAGAAAAGCCAGAGTTCAGGCCAACTTTTAGCCCACTCACAGCCAAGAAACGAACTGCAAGTTAAAAGCACAGACAACACTCCCTCCTTCGGGCCTGGGCTCCGCAGCCCCCGAGCGCTCCC